GCCACATGTTTTGGCTGGGTGCCTGTATTTCCCAAAACCTTCTAGAGCACACTTATCAGGTGAATCTTTTTTTGTAAGATGTGACCTGGCCCTATATATCATCGCTTTCTGCAGCAGTTTATTATTGTCCATTTCCTCACTCGTTTTTCCAGTCTGTTCATCAGTATGCTGTGGCCCAAAGAACTGGATTAGTCTGTGCCTTTGAAGAGCCTGAGTGAGTTGTTATCTTCTGTACCGGACTCTGTGTTATAGTGGGCCTGGCAGGGCCAAGCCAGCCTGGCTCTGGCTTGAACAAAGCGGCCCTTTAGTCTTAGGTCATGGTTGGCGTGTGTGTATGTGTGTGTTTGCACAGACAAATACACATGTTTGGTGGCTGCTCTTTGTTTCCCAGCCCTGGGCCCTGCTGGCCAGAGCTCAAGCCTGACTAATATGGATGTATAAATACACTAGGCTGCCGTCAGTTTGTGCTACATCAAGCACACCATTGTTTCTCACAACTCTGCAACTTCAGAGATAAACTGTGTCCTTTGTTCCCAGTGTTCTTTTAGTTTTTTAACAATTGTATTTATTATTACTTTTCTCCAGAAAAATGAGTTCATGTTTGTTATGGCCCTACGTGTTCTATGATCTTTGGTTTGATGTTAAATGGTCCAGTAGCAAAATTCACGAGATGATAACCAAATTACCATCTGACGCTGTCTCACAGCTCTCCACATTTTACACATGTGACTGATGATACCATATTGGCCTCCTTCATTCTCATCACAGTTCAATTAGCTGTCTGTTTCCGTAAATCGTTTTTTGTCTCGGACCCAACTGATTACTGGTCACAGGGGAGGAAAATATGACTACATTGTTTATTTACTTTCACAGCATTGCTTCACACCAGATTGAAAACGCCACCAATTCAATCAGCTACATTACTGAGAGTCCCGTCAAAGTATAGCTGGCTACCTCGCTCTCCGCTAGCACGAAGAGCACGTGCGATAAGCACGAGTGACGTAGCTGTTTTCAGTGATAGCATTCTTTAGAGTTGCATCAGTTGTAAAATCTTGGGTTCGCTGTTCATTAACTTTTCAGCATGTATTTCACAAACAAATTAGCAATTTACCGCGAAGACACTGCTTGACTGGGCAACATGTCTTCTCAGAGATAGGATTGACCACTATTTGCATCATGGCTGCCTGGTACCCAGTGATGTAATTACCGTTTTTGTTTTAAATACAAATGTTACATTTTTTGTTTTTTAATGTTTCTGTTCAGAAAACTGTGTTTTGTGTCAGTAACTGTCCTTTATTTGGGCTGATTTTTAGTTAGAATCATTATTGAGGTGTCTAATAACTGCTTTCTCTATTGAATGAATTAAAAAAATGGGGAATGTCAGCAAAAAAAAAAGGCTGAACGATAAAGTGGTTGGGTTCCAATTTTCTCTCACGTCTCTGTAAAACCCAGCTGGGGTTGATGCAGTACTTGAGCCTGCTGCTGTCTGCCTTCTACCCCACGTACACCTCGCACTCAATCAGCCAGCCGGTTAATCGCCACTTCACATTGCAGTGATTAATTACTATAATAATCTTATCTGGGACTGAGCCTTCGTCCCAGTGAAGTAAACCTCTAAGCAGCCTAAGACACAGACGTGTTATCTCTCCTTAACCATATAGCTTTAACAGTTTACATAACACTGAGCCAAAACCACTATTCTGAAAAACTATCAGTATCCCTGATCATCTTCTCCACATTAACACATGGCCATGCATCGTGACCGGCTCTAGTCTCTGGGTCCAAGGTTGCTCCCGGCTTTTGGTCGTGAGCTGCACAGCACCTCTCCCCCGGACCTCGTCACTTCCCATGAGCTTAATCACTGCGCCGTCTGTCCCTGCAGGGAGGAACCCACCGAACCCGATTTGAAACACAGAACCCATCTTTTTTTTCGATGGCTCATTTTTTACCGTTTCATCCCTGTTCTTATCTATGCAGTCATTGTGTTGGATTTAAAAAGTTCATAGTGGAACAAAGGATGATTTGCGTCATCAACTTTATGAGGCAGCCTTAGAGAGCAATTTAATTCCGTTTAGCCCTTTTTTTTAGAATATGACTACAATATGCAGGATATTTAACACAAAATCACTCTTTGTGATATTTCTAAAATGTAAAATTGATATTAATTTGTGCAATTCTATTCCTATTTAAGTCTCCTGTTTATCTTGTGACTCATCCCCCACTGATCTGTGACCACTTACTGGAACAGGCATGTCTACGCTTTTGTGGGCCACACACACACTTGCTGGAAGTCCTCCCGAAGAAGGCCTTCTGGTCAGGCGTGTAGGAATTTAACAATTCCTCAGTATTTTTTAAATTTGGTTGAGCAAAACCGGTTAAACAAAAACATTTACAAATTGTAATTGTTTTGGCTTAAATATCGATTTTTATTTCAATGGTTTGCATTCATGTTGGTTGTTTGAGGTACAGTGAAGAGACAAGGGGGCCGAGGATAAAAGGGGACATGTCATTGATGATGTCACCCTCGGTCAGATTGATGTGCCCTGTCCATTGGTGCTGTATATGTACGTTTTGTAAGCCGCCCACAGCCTCGCTCTTTTCCTCCTCCCTCTCCCTACCTATCAGTGCAACACACAGCTCAAGGACAAGGCCACCAGCCTGCCTGGTCACATGACCCCAACACAATGTCTTTTTTTCTCATGGTGTAACCCCCTCCCCCCCCATATGTCCACATGGACTCTTGGATGAACGGATGGATGAATATTTCACAAAACGCTTTAGAGGAATGGATGTGTTAGGAATGTCGGGGGGAGCCGTGGTTAAATGGGTCATGTCCCCTCGAACAATGGTGGCATAACTGTGTGACTCGTAGGTACAGACAACTGAGGGGGAGGCAGGAAAAGAGGCAAAGAGGGGGAACACCAAAGCCCTTTTGCCCCAATTATGGACATAAATAACATCCACACACCGCTGCGATGGAAATTGGGGTCAAAGGGTTAACTGTGTATTCGAGGGTTTCAGGCTGAACTAAGTGAGCAGAGTGAATGGAAGAGTGAAAGCACCGAAGGGAAGACCTACAGTACGCTCTGCATACGATGTGGCCTGCGGGGCCATAGGACCACACCTGGTGTTGGATTCAGACTGAAATCTGATCCGTGTGAAACCGCAGGTTGGCTGCGTGTTGTATACATACTAGAGCACAATATGCGGATGTCCACTGGTAGTAACAGTTTGGTTCGTTTCAGCGCTTATGTCATCATGCTGTCACACCTGTAACTATTTTTTTCTCCGAAAACAATGTGTGAGCCACCACGAATGTGTGCTTAGATTTATTGGATTTGTGACGGCGTAGTTGTGAAATGCCTCGCAAGCGTTCAAAGATTGTAAGGGCTAGTTTACACTTTTTTTTGTGTAAACTGCTGCCAGCTGCCAGTGTCTTTTTTTTGCATGCAACCCCATCGGAAAAGGATGTCTTTTTACAAAGCGGAGGCCTTTTTTTTTCTTTTTTTTTACGCATTAAAAGGGCTGCACCCAACGCCTTTTTTGGAGTTCAGTTTTCGCAACTCAAGATAGTTTCCGTTGTATATTTTCAAACAAATCAGTAATTCGTTTCTCTAGATTGTGATAAAATATTCAAAAAACACTGCAGTCCAAACCCCCAAAAGCATAATCTTTTAAGATAAAGTAAAACAGATCACTTTTGAGAAATGGTAACCAGTAAGAGTTTGCTCACAAGTGTTTAAAATAGTACAACAATCAACTAATATTCGTATAAAGCACTGAGGAAATCAGCATCTCCTCCCTTGAGTTCATTTGAGTCCTTTTCCCAGCAAACCTACAATATGATGATGTGTCTTCATGTCAAGACCCCAGACACACTCATTCACGCCAGTGACAAACCGCTGTCAACCTTGTAGTTAGGTTATGGGAAGGTGATGACCGCTATGATAATGATGATGGGGGAGATGGTTTGGGGATTAGTTGATGATTAAGGGGTGAGGCAGTGGTATTATCCCAATGGTAGGGTGTAGAGTGGACAGATGACATGGTGCGTAATTCAAAACAAGCTGGTAATAGAAGTTGTAGTAAATGAGCACCCTGCCACGTGTGCAGGTGTTTTGTCTTTTCCCCTCCCCTGCCCCGTTGGATTGTGCTCAGCACTCTGCCACAGACAGCTGTGCCATTACTCCCCGCAGGCACGACAGCAGGGCTGCCTTATCCGCTAGAGGGAAGTGAACAAAACTGTAATTAAAAGCTGGGAACACCCCCCCCCCCTATTATTAGATCTGTTTGATCTAATAGAAGTACCATTTACCCCATTCTTAGTTTCGTATTTGGAGTCTTCTTGCATTTGCCATTTGTGTTAAGTAAATGTAACAAAAAAGCCCATCCCATAAGATGACTCGCGCATCAAGAGAAACCTGTGTGGTGTCACTAGATCACTACGTCAGAGAATGAATGGAAGCGATAGATGCGTAACTAGCGTCAGTTTAATCCAGTGTGGCAGGTCAGAGGAGCGGCTAAATATCTTCCTAATTTCAGCTCTCAGGTGACATAGTCACGTAATAATATGCAAATGTTCTCTCAGACTTCAGTGCCACGGTCTGCTGGCTGTTTACTCATGCTGCTGTCATTCAGAATCTTTTCACATGTAGACTTTTGGACATGCAAGAAAGCAAGACATATAAACCAGGTCATCTCTGCAGATTGTTATGAGTCATTGACATTTTTAGTGTTTTTAAGGTTAAAAATGCCCTCGTTGATTTGCTGCTTTAGACTTAACCCTGATGATTGTTGAGACTGTAGCTGACGTTGGTTATGTGTTGGACTCCATACAGACTCTCTACCCCTCATGTACATAAAAAACTGAGCATTAGGCCCTTCAGTGTAATCCAAAAAATTACTACCACTCACTACTGCCTAACAATGACTAATTTACATTACGATATGCATATGTACCCTCAGATTTAAAATTCTCTCTCCCGTTTCTTGCTTTGCAGAGTGCAGCAATGGAGGAAACGGTCATATGGGAACAGCACACAGTGACCCTTCACAGGGTAAGTGTTTACAACTCTTTAATCCACTGTCCTTTTTCTCCTCCTTTGTCTCTGCCCGTCCCTGGTATCCAAATCATGCTGTATGTCTCGTTGTTTTCTTAACTTTTTCCTCAACGTCTTTCTCTGTCCACCCATCTCTCCCCCCGCTCTGTACTGAGAGGGGCCAGCTGTAGCTGCAGGATACGTAGCACTGAAACAATAGTCAAGGAACCCAGATGTCAGGAAACAAGGCTAAGGAAGACCGAAATCAGCATCCACATCCTTACCACCTTATTTCACTTCCTTCCTGTTGGCAACATTGTCTTCTCCTTAACACAGTTCCAGGGAAGAGAGGGATGATGGCTTTAGTCCCTGTGCTTTTTGTCCTGTATTAAGTCACATGTTATAATGATCGATTACACCACTGAGTAGAACTGACAATCTGCATCATCAGGTTAACCCATCAAACTATTCAAGGCCATATTCCCTCAGATTGCTGTGGAATAAAGGAACTCATTGTCTCGTATGCAGGATTCCTGAATGTGCTCTGCTTTGAGACAACAACACAGTAGCAGTTCGTTGATGCTGCAAGTGGGACTGTATAGAGCACCTGTCTAGACCGGCTGGCTTGCTGTAATCTAATTAGCAGTGGATTTATTGCGGCTGAAGGAGAAGGCCGTGATTGCCTGCAGTTCTCTGCCTCGCGGTTTATCTGTGCTTTTGGGTCCGTCCCTTGGTGCTGATCCCCAAAACCTCCACGGAAAAAACATTTCACAATCATCACAATAACTCCTAGTCTACTACAAGCAAATGTCCCAGTCTTTTTAAACCCATGGTGTTATTTTACTTAAATAACATTTTCACTGATAATTAGTCTTCATAGACCCCATTGGCGTGTTATTGTTGTTGTTTTATGCCGTATCAGTCAGCGGGTGTGTATTTCTCTTGTGTAGGCCGCAGGATTTGGGTTTGGTATTGCCATCTCAGGTGGGCGAGACAACCCTCATTTCCAGAGTGGGGAGACCTCCATTGTGATATCTGATGTGCTGAAAGGAGGTCCTGCGGAGGGATTGTTGCAGTAAGTCTGATTATTGTCATTAATAGTTGTTTCCCCCTCCTAGGAATCGGATAACATAAACGCTTAGTAAATACCTTTTCCTCTTGCCTTTTATTACATGTATATATTTTCTATTGTTTCAGAGAAAATGATCGAGTGGTGATGGTAAATGCCGTCTCTATGGACAACGTAGAGCATGCCTACGCGGTACAGCAGCTCCGAAAGAGTGGCAAAAACGCAAAAATAGTAAGTCGAACTATTCATCAAACCTGACCTCGTGTGAAAAATTTACAGAGAACCAGCAGTCATCTCAAATGTGCAGGACACCACAATAATTGTCTAAACACTGAAATTCTCTCCCTTCCAAGACCATTCGTCGTAAGAGGAAAGTGCAGATCCCTGTTTCTAGACCCGGGGACAGGGAGACGATGTCCGAGCACGAGGAGGAGGAAACCGATGAGGAGGATGGCTATGACCATGGTAGCCAAAGTGCCTATGCAGGAGCAAGCGGCGGCGGCACGGGTACCGGCAGGCGTCAGGGCCGCGAGCGCAGTAGCAGCGGCAGGAGGGATCGCAGTGCCTCGCGAGACAGGAGCGTCTCGCCGCGCTCTGACCGACGATCACAAGCATCCTCTGCTGCGCCAAGGCCCTCCAAGGTGACCCTGGTCAAGTCCCGCAAGAATGAAGGTGAGCAACACAAAGTTCAACCCCCTGAACCTTTCTATACGCATCATGTGGATGTAACAAATTCTAGTTTGTCAGCTTCCAGCTACCAAAAGTAAAACATAAAATCCAAATGTTATTTTGCTCTGTTTATATATTATTTGCCGTGATGAGTTGAATCAATGCGTCCTGTTAATATTCATCTGTTTGGCTTATCAACTTGAAAGTAGAATACGGTCTGCGATTGGCCAGCCACATCTTTGTGAAGGACATCTCTCCCGAGAGCCTTGCTGCCCGAGATGGAAACATCCAGGAGGGAGACGTTGTACTTAAGGTGAGAGAAAGCAGAGCAGTGTTTGCATGAGCAGGCCAACAAATAAGACAGGGATTTCAAAAGTGGGTTAAAACGCAGCTATAGAGAAATGTACTGACAAAAGATTAATACAATAAACATTTAAGATGAAAATGTTAAACGGCTTTAGATCATCCCATTAGCAGAATGAATGAAGTTGGGTGAAAGAGACCAGTGTGTCGCCCTGGTTTACCCGGAGTAGTCTGCTGTGGGAAACTGAGCTGCTGAGAAAATGGACGTCACAGTTCATTAGTATGCAGCAATACTACGCATTCCATTGTTACTTTGCCTTTTATCCTGTCAATCTATAAGGAAGGTAAAATCCTCCTTCACAATACAGCGATGCATTCAAAATCCAATTTACTGTATCAAGAATTCTCAATTGGAAATGTGTTTGCGGGACAAGGACCTACACCTTAATTCACTCCTCTACTTTGTGATGATTCCAAAGTTTTCAGAAGCACATTGTGGGGTATGCAGGAAAAATGTTGTGCATTCAATTCTCCTCTTCCTCGGGGCAGATCAATGGCACTGTCACGGAGAACCTATCACTAATAGATGCCAAGAAGCTGATTGAGAGGTCGAAGGGCAAGTTGAAGATGGTGGTGCAAAGAGATGACCGAGCCACGCTGCTCAACATTCCCGACCTCGACGACAGCGTCGCGTCAGCCAACAACTCCGACCGAGACGGTGAGTCAGCAGACATGTAGCGGCGCCTCGTCGAGTGCAGCTAGCATTGGACGGCACAAGCTGTGGACGTGATTTTAACGGAGCCCGAGCATGTTTTTCAAACATGGAGAAAGACGTTGCAATGAGTCAACGTTGATTTCTGTCATTGAATGCTAATGTATATTTCATTTTAATCTCGCAGACATTTCAGAAATACATTCTCTCACTTCGGACCATTCCAATCGATCCCCCGGGCGCGGTAGTCGATCGCGTTCGCCCGACAGGCCTGAACCGTCAGACCTTCTCCGCAACTCACCTCGGCAGATCAGCAACGGCAGGTAAGCCAACTGCGCGTGCACATCTAACTGCAAGTTTGGTGATGGGACACAGCTGTCATGCCACAGTCAATAATACATACACCCACCACTCCCAACGCCATACATGGTGTTCAAACCCATGGGTTGGCGGGTGCAGAGTAAGTACCTCACACCACAACGGAATCGATCAACAGATGAAGTCAGTACATGCATAAAGCATTACAGAGTCACAATAAAGCCTTACTCTGGGAGAGGACTGAGGAGGGATTAACCCACCTCTGCCTGGTGGACTGAGGTATACAAGATTTTGTTTTCACTCTTCAAGCGGTTATCTGAACTTCATGACATCACTCTTACACCGTGCAAAGCAAGAAATATTTATTATTCATGCTTATGACCTAAATCCTTATTTTATAATGTATGGTTCATTCATATGATTAATTTCCATTTTCATAGCTATCTTCTGCACACACGTGATGTGTTTTTTTCACTACATTTGAATGCCGATAATGTGTCTTTGTCCTTCTCTTTTCTTGTTGCCAGTTGGAACTTCCAGTAAGTTATCTTTGTTGTAGTTTAGTGGTTTTATAGCCTCTTGTAGCTGACAAAACAAAAAGGAGAGCTAGACCAAGTCATGCTAGTGACTAGTGACCCCGTGTTAGTGTGGAGCTTATTGTATGCTTGTAAGGTAAGCGCAAGATGCTGAGTGTAATGGAGACGAGATGAAGTCCAGTTGATTGGCCCACCACTCGGATAAGACCTATGCTAACAAGAGACTGCACTTATACTGATATTAGATATTTGTTAGATACCGACACAAACTGCCGGATCAGGTATCTGTGTTAATAGGCCATCTGGAATCAGATACCAATATTTTGATAAACGAGCACACTTCAATACATTATATATTAATATTTGCAAAGTTTTTAGAAAACAATCTTAAGTTGTGTCTTATTTTGTCTTTCACGCAAAAGAATATTCCCAGTCACTTTCACACAGAGGCTTACAGTTTATTAATTAAACACTGATATCGAAAGCTCAATGCTCATTCTGTCACTGGCAGAAGATATCAGACAGAAGCTGTGTTGCTGCTTTCTATTTTTAGTAAACGGCTGCGTTTGATACTCTGAAGTAGGGGAGGGTCTTGAATCAAGACCCTTTTAGCACCCAGGTTTTTTCATTTCATCATATGTACATGGCCCTCGAGTCAGTAGGCTGTCTGTACACCAAACAATGTCCTTTAACGATCTAGAAAACTAACCAAATGTGCTATTTTTTACTGCTTCTGTGAACCCAAATTTTGCTGGAAAACCTTTAGCTGTTTTGCAATATTTCTTGCATTACTTGTTTTGCGCACACACTCTCACAGCCGTTGTGGCTGCCGGATGCTAGCTCATGATGCTCCTGCTAGTTTGGCTTTTCTAGCTTAGTCGCTTGTCCCTCAGTGCTTCCATTAGATGGTTCATCGTCTCGCCATCTAGAGTAACCTTCCTTGTTTCAATGCAGGATGAGGGCAAGTTCACTGTTGCACAGATTACTTCCAATGTAAGTGAATCCATCCCTCTGATACAGTCCAGTTTGTTTACTTCTGTTACTCTCTCCCTGGGCGGTTACCTTTGTGCACCAGATACGTGTCCATCCAGAAGTTAGAAAACCAGTAATGTCATACGTGTGCACATTTTTACCTGTCGTCTGACTGGTTAATCTGTTACGCTCAGGCAGTTATACAAGAAGTTCCACCTGCTCCCCGTGTTTGTTTGTGGTTGTAGAACGTATTGAGGAAGTAACAGTCTAACAATCCCATGCCTGTAATGTCAGGGATTTTTTTTTTTTTTACTTTTATCTCTCAGTTTAGGAGGGGGTGAAGGAATTTGACATACTTCCCACAGTGCTTTGCCCCAAGCCAGATGGTTTGCTTAACCTGATTGGCTGTAGGGCTTAGAGGCATTCTTTTCCCCGGGGCCGAGGCCAGTGGGTGTTTTTAAATTAAAACGTATCGTCAAAAACGCTGTTCATTCGGTCTCTCAGCGGGCACGAGTACTCTGTGTTGTCTTCCACGGAATTAAAGTCCTCGCAGTGCTCGTCATGGTTCAACTTAAAGATACATTTGTGTGAGTAATGCTTTATTTTATTGTTAATTGTGTGTTTAAGCTGCATGTTGGTATACAAGAATGCCGCTGATGCTCTGATTTGTCAGAGATGTCAGTGTAATGTAATATTATGGATCAAATGATTGTTATGCAGTGTAGAGATTCTGGTTTGGCGGTTTATTTGCTTCCGTCTCTCCTGCTTCACTTTTTCTGTCTCTCACTGTGTCCCCCAAACTGTAAGAATGTCTACGCGAGGGCATCGAACAAAGGCTGCTGTCTAATGGAGTTTTAGTGTGACGCCTTTTTTAGCAACCATTCTGCACTGAGGAATACCCGATTCAGGCCTCAACCACCTTCTCACCTCTCTCTCTCTCTCTCTCTCCTTGTCCCTTGCTCTTGCTGTGTTGGTCTCTCTCTCTCTTTTCTCCCCCCCTCTCTCATTCATCCACTACACACAAAGGCAAACACACTCTTGCTCACTCTCTTATTACAATTCTGTTATTTATTTCCCTCCCAACCTCTTTCTCTTGGTCTCTTTTATTACAATTCTGTTATTTCTCTTACTCCCCCCTCTTTTTCCCCCACTTTCTTGCTCTCTTTTTTGCTGTCTTCCCCATTCTCCCTCCACAACACTCACCAATATGATGTACATGGCTGTACATTTACTGGTTTTACATTTGTGTTTTTACTGTGTTTCAGTCATGCGTGACTACCGTTAACTGTATACTTTTCCTACACTGTTTATTGACATTAAATATAACTAAGAAACAGGGGAAAATAAGATAAATTGCCTAGTGTGAGCTGGTGGCAAAGCCTGCACCTTCACGTTCTTCTACTAAAGCTGAATGCGGCTCAAGTACCGTGCCAGCAGGCAGTCATGTGACCAGATTGGAATTCAACCATTGTTTTAAGCAGCAGTCTTTTCTACTCTGTTAGTCACAGACTACAAGACGCACGCACACACCCACGCATGCGCACCCATGGTTTCCTCTTGTTTATTCTATCCAGGTTAAACAGGAACTTGGACTGAAAAGTATCCCTCCTCAGAGGTTTATGTTGGGAGACTTGGTCTGGCTGTGTGCTTTTACTGGAATGGTTGATGAAATGGGGCTTTACATCGATCATGCAATTTAAAACATTTATGAATCCCGTCTCCTCCAATTTACATTTATATCAGTCTGTGTTTGGGAGTGTCGTTGCCATTTGGAGCGTCTTTTCAACCAAAGCCGCACATCCTTTTTTTTAATAGGGTATTGTCTTCTCATTCCATTTGTCTGTCCATGTCATCCATGGTCCCTTTCATTTCCCTTTGAGTTAATTTTAGTCTTCCTGGTGATGTCAGCACAGGACAACTAAACAGAAAATACAGGTTAATTGTTACACACATCAGCAGAGATGTTGCATTCCTTTAAGGAATGCATTAATGGAAAATTATTCTTTTTAAGGCACGCAGACTAACTTTCCTTTTGCAATGTTTGTCTCCTTTAGCCATCGAAGTCGAGATGAGGAACGCATATCCAAACCGGGGCTCATGTCCACTCCAGTTAAAAGCTCTGATGACGTCGTTGTGTCACACTCCAGCGATCTGGCCAGTTCCAGAGATGACAAACTGTTGCCCCCGCTGCCTGGTACGGAAACCTACGCCCATCAGCCCGCTGCTTGGTGGATTTGTGTGGTTTCATGTCTGCATAAGTTTAAACCAGCGTTTCCATTTCTACATTCACAGTCATACTACACTTGTAAAAAAACACGCCATCAAAACTCTTGTCTATTGGGTAACAACTAATCAACACACCGTTGTGAATAATGAACTGCCAATTCCATTATTCTCAGACTAACTACCCATGTCAGCATCTGAGTGAAATGTGTATGTCTAATATTACATAACGGATATTCATCACCAGATCTGACTTGCACTCTACAACTGGTTTCTGTATTACCAAACACTTGGCTAACCATCTTGTATCAAACCCTTAACAATGAAACTGCTGCTGCATACAGCGTGTACCAGTTTACCTTCTGTGTCTGTGTGCGGATTATTTTACATGGTGTGTTATTTTTTCGATACAGAACCAAAGCCTGTTTATGCGCAGCCTGGTCAGCCCGACGTGGATCTGCCCGTCAGCCCCTCGGACGCCCCTGTGCCCAGCGCTGTTCATGATGAAAGCATCCTCAGGTAGATGTCCTAGATGCTCACATCAAACTCACCTGACCGTATTGACTGATCCTTCCAGTGTATATATTATTATTCAGTGGATTATTCCCTTAAAGATTAGCCTACCTGCCATGTGCTTTTTTTGGCTTTGTTGTATGACCATATTTGGTATGATGAAATAGCTGGGTGTGTTTTGTGCCTCTCAGAATGACTGTTATTAGATCCGTGATTTGCTTAATTCTATCGTTCTTCCTTTGCACTCCTGCAGGCCGAGTATGAAGCTGGTCAAGTTCAAGAAGGGAGAAAGTGTCGGTCTGCGGTTAGCAGGAGGGAACGATGTGGGGATTTTTGTGGCAGGTGTTTTGGAGGACAGTCCTGCAGCCAGGGAAGGGCTGGAGGAGGGAGACCAGATTCTCAGGGTACGCTACACTCACTCATTTAAGCAACATGCCTGCTTGTAGAAATGAAATGTCTTCTATTGTTGCCAATGTAGTATATAAACTTCACCAGTCTTTGTCTACATGACACATATTTCAGAAAGAAAAGCTCTCTTCCCTTGTGCTTTCTCTTCAAAAGCAATTAAGTCTGGATAAAACAACTGAAGATGAAATATTCAGATCCAAGTTGTTTTTTACAGATAAAGTACTGTTGTATTTATAAAATTCTGTCTTTTCACTGTGGTGCCTGACAAAGAAGAAAAACTCACAATGTCATCTTTTCAAATATGCCAACCTAGCTATGATAAAGTGGAAAGTGATGGTGCAGAAATCTGCTGCATGTAAAAAGGTTTGCATTATTTAGGTGTGTGAAAGTGTTCTCTGATTTCCTTTTTAACTGGTTGATTCTGTGCTCATATCGATGTAGTGTGTTTGTTCCTTTATATGTACTACTCTTAACTAGTAAAATCTTTCAAGGAATTGTTCTGTCAGAGCTTATTCCGGTTCTTATTTTCAGCAAGTATGTATCACATGTATAAAAGTGGGAAGAACATCTGGTGTTTTTGTGAAAACACACAAGCAGTAGCTGCCCACTCTGACTTGGATAATCTGTGGTGAAACTATGTGATCTCATGGCCACAATAGTATTTCACTGAAAAGTGATCTTGGGAATACAGTACAATGTAGCTGTCAGTCTATGAGTCATTCTGGGCTCTGCCTCGTGTCAAAACTCCCCTTGTTTCCAATGCGAAGACACAATGGCTGTTCTTACGCTCTGACCGCGGAACAGTTGACTTTCTGTCCCGCTGAACACTAGAGTAACATTGTTGATGGGGTGATGGAAGCCCTCTTGATGTCAGTGTTGGTTCCATTCAGACATGTTTGTTCGACAGCCAAGCATTACACCTGCTTTGTTAAATGCTAAGGCAGTGGATCCGTTTAGAATGGCAGTGCACAGAAGAGGCTGAGTACTTGGCCACAAAGATGTCCCCCCCCCCCGTCATAAACATTCATGGACTGCATTTATCTTAGAAAGCAATCGGTCCATTACCGTATCTCCTTCTCTTAACTAATACAATATGTCTCATGTTCCTCCCACTCCACAGCATAGATGTGTGTGTGTGTGTGTTCTCTCCAATGTACGAACACACCTCAAAGACTTCCAGGACATTGTTTTCCATCTTCAGATAGTTTCCCTTTGGTCATGGTGTGCTAGTGGAGATAAAGACGTCAGGACCTCCTGTTTCTGGGAAGGATAAAGGTGTCTTTCTGAGGTTCAGTGATTCCGTCCATGTGTTTCTCGTTCCCCTGCAGCCCCTTAAGCAGAGTCAATAAACAACAGTTATTGTTTTTGGGACCGCAGCAGGAGAAGAGGAGGAGACTGCTCGGTTGTAGGGGGAATACACAGCCCTGCTTTTGTTTAGGAAAAACAGAGCACACTTTTAAATGTTATTTGCATTTTAACACTGCTTATTTAAAAAACTTGGTGGGATAAACTTCTGTTCTGGATCCATAGGTGAACAATGTGGACTTTGCTAACATCATCCGGGAGGAGGCTGTGCTGTTTCTGCTGGATCTCCCGAAAGGAGAAGAAGTTACTATTTTGGCACAAAAGAAAAAAGATGGTGAGCGATGGCATTATGAAGTGTCCTGTTAGTTGTGTTGCATTGCACACTGCATTCATTGTCAGAACCAGCAGATTTAAAAGGTTGCTGTAATCATTTTTCTATTTTTTTTTTCAGTATATCGGAGGATAGTGGAATCTGATGTAGGTGACTCCTTCTACATCCGGACCCATTTTGAATATGAAAAGGAGTCACCGTACGGGCTGAGCTTTAACAAGGGCGAGGTGTTTCGTGTAGTAGACACGCTCTACAACGGCAAATTAGGCTCCTGGCTCGCCATCCGTATCGGCAAGAACCATCAGGAAGTAGAAAGGGGCATCATACCCAACAAGAACAGGTATTGCGGTTGCACCTTGTCATACCTGTATAGTTTGTTTGTGCTCTTTATGAATGGATGACGGTGGAGATAAAGAAGTAGTGGTTGCTCTGCGGGTAGCGATCAAGGATTTGTGAGCCCATTTCCATTTACTTATTTCTCTCAGTCAGCGTGTCTGAGGATAAGTAGCAAAGATGACGGTGATCCAGCCAACAGCATTGTTTTATCTAGGCCTGTCTCTGCAGCCTTCAACAGCCTCTGGCAGTGTTTACACAGAGATTTCTCCTCCTTCTGCTGACAGAAAAGACATAGCTGTCCATAGGCTACATACACTTATACACCACATAATACTCACTGTGAAATATATATCAGCTTCGCAGCCAAAATAAACCGGCCTCCCTGAGTATTCTTTCAAAACATGAAAATCCTAAAATCACACTCTGAATTAAATATTTTCATTTTAAAAACATACCTATTTGTCAAAGGCACTTTGAATGAGTTCCCTTCCCTTTGGCCAGCTACCTTACTCACTAACCACTGTTATTTTATATACCTAAAACATATATTTAACTATCTGCAATCAGCTGTACGAAACAGTTACGGCCAAAGACGGCCTTTATCTGAAAGTAGTGGTAAGTAATTCTGTAATGGTGGAGAGTGTGTCTGTGTTTTATAAATAAGGCTCACCATTTCACTGCCAAGTCCTCATTTCTGTAATGCGTATTCTGTATTCTGAGAGCCACTGAAATGTGTACATCACTGTAACCGGTGTCATCATGCGTATGTATATCAAAATACGCACATGTTGTTCTGCAATCAAGAGTTCACAGAAAAAACAGGGAGGGAAATAATAGGTCAGCTCTTCATAATTTTATCATTTGAGGTATAAATTGGATTGTTTCAGCCCTCAAGACAACATAATAATAATAAGCTTGTCTATAAAAGGACCTCTTAGTATTTTATCAGCATTTCTTGAGTACTCAATAATCACTTAGGCAACGCAGTACTTTACTATGGTATTACAGCTTCAGGCCTTGTTGGAACGCTAAAGCTAAATGCTGATTACCTGACCGGTCTGCCTTGACCAAAGACCTGATTGTATGCCTACTTTCTTGTTTGTTCAGAGCTGAGCAGCTATCCAGTGTGCAGTACACCCTCCCCAAAACGCCAGGGGGCGACAGAGCAGACTTCTGGAGATTCCGAGGATTGCGAAGCTCCAAGAGAAATTTGCGTAAGAGCAGGGAAGACCTGTCGGCCCAACCAGTTCAGACCAAGTTCCCTGCTTACGAGAGGGTGGTGCTGAGAGAAGGTAGGAACACATCAGCAAGACGGTAACAGCAATCATCTATGACATGTGTTTATACTTTAAAGCAGGATAAATGTAAAAAGTACAAAGTAGTGGACAGATTTCCCTTTTTGCAGCTAAAAGAACTTCAAAGTAACGTCTGTAGTCGTGCGTTTCCCAGCCTTGTTCATTTTTCCATTACAAATATACTCCTATATCTCACTAAATGTATGATCTGAGTTAGTATTTTGTTTCGTTTAAGTGATACATAATGCAAACCTTTGGTGCTCTGCATGTTCTCCTAGCTGGGTTCCTGAGGCCTGTGGTTCTGTTTGGGCCGATAGCAGACGTGGCCAGAGAGAAACTGGCCAGGGAGGAGCCAGATGTTTTTGAACTAGCGAGTAAGTGAAGAATCCATAACCCTCCCTCGTATTGTGACCTACCGCGGGTCTTAATTGCTTTTTTTTTTTTTTATTCTAGCCTTTATCAAATAGTCAACAGTAGTGGTCAATCCTCCTGGGAGTGAATCGCAAAAGTAACCTTTGTTGTTTATATTTCGTTATGAGCTATAGAACTTTAGAAACGTTTTTTCAGTATTTGTTCTGTATAGATCACCACTGCTCTTCACTTAATTTAGTTTTAGCCAGTAGTCAGTTTTTTTTTTTTTTTTTTTACTGAATGCAGTGTTTGTTCTGCTAAACCCCAGAATACCAATGCTACTGAAACTACTAGATATTGCCAATTTAGAAGGTCGGTTAGTGAAGTTGTGTCAATAATTTTCTTTGTTTATTTTTAGCATCTTTCTTTATCTTCTCACTCTTCTACAGTTAGTCTGCATCTGCCTCTTACTTCCTAGATTGCAACCCTCTTTAATGTGTGCTCTTTATTTTGACACAATGTATTGCATTTCAATTACTTTAAGGGCACAACATCACATGGCAATACATCCACGCACACATATTTAGTACACGGCAACAGAAGTGATTCCATTCCTTGATGTTTATCTACTTAACTCCAGTGATGTTTGTGTAACTGTATTTTCTTTTCAGAAACACAGCAACAGCAAGGAGGGGAAAGTATGTCACTTAGTGCATCAACTTTTATTTGTTTAATTGATTCAGTGAATGGCAGGTTATTATATTCTGGTGTTTAGTGTCAATCTGGTATATGAATGTTTCAGCAATGCGTAAAGGGGAATAGCACTTGATTTATTTCCGTTTATCAATACAATTGGCAACAATGATGTTTTAGTATCTATTAGAATAATTGTAGAATACATCACAGAAGAATGCAATATCATACTTTCTATTTTTTTCTATCTATTGGTCTCATTTCAAAGGGTTCTGCACTTAATGGCTAAATTTAGATATTTGGAGCTGTTTGACATTGTGATATTGCATGTTGTTCATTAGAGAATAGTAAATGCAGATGAGTGTACCGTATCCTTGAATGAATACAATAGTATACTTTGCAGTTAAATTCAGTGGTATTCCCCTCAATGTATCACTTAGTGAGACAAAGACGAGGCAGCATGTGGGGCTGTGCAGTTATTATGCCATGAAAACTGAGATGTGTGGAGATTCGTTTCAATTACAACATTAGGAAATTATCAAATAATTCTTAATAGAATGGGAGTGTGGAAAATAATATGAATAGATTTTCTTGAAAAGAAATGCCTACAATACCACCAAAAATATGTTATCAGATGAAATTGTCTCGTCTCCAGTCATCTCAGCAGTTAGCTGAGAAATGTATTTATATTATCTATTTATATGGTTATGTTCAATTTCTTTCCTAATACGTTCTCATCTGGTCCTGATCCAGAAATCTATTAGTGTAAAATCTGGGTCAATTTACGGCTCACAAGTACAACAAACCACAACTCTGTCATGCTACTGTTCAAAACAGTGTATTATATTTCATACCAAATTGCACAGACGTAGCTGCATCATAACACTTGTGTCTTCACTCTTTGCACGGCTATTTCTATCTGCTCTCCCTGAAATGTGTTTGCGTAGATGAGAGCAGTATTTTTATATCGATCATATTAGAAATGTTAGAAATGGTGTGCTGTGTTAAAGTCATTATTATACTGCAATTTGGGGAGACGGGTGCCCTCTTTTGAACCTTGTGTGTCTGGGCAGGAAACATTGCTTATCTTTTATGTGAATCATAAACCCCTCCTCACATCCTTGCTTAAATCCCCGAGGCTTACAATGACACCGTATTCTCATTAATCCCAAAATGACCCTCATGCTCTTGTATGCGCATATTTCATGTCAGTGTTTCTCACAAAACACGTTTCCTGCACCATGATTTATTCTGTTACATGCAGTTGCACTCACACATTCATTCAACTGAATTAATTTTTCCTAAACCGACCCAAAATAACTAATGACAATTGCATGAATTGGCTGCTACTATCTATCTGTTTTCAGAAACGTACACTTGTCCTCTCCCGTACGGAGATTATTATTCCGTATTTAACAGCTCTATTTATGGGAGTGGACAAATGCACGCCACAAGAATATCTAATTAGGCCACAGCCAGGTTATATTGCTATTTGTCTCTTGTGTTGATGTGATCCAGTAACTCTGTACCTTTTTTGTCTTCTATAGGAAGTGAGCCCAGGGACGCAGGAACCGACCAGAAGAGCTCCGGCATCATTCGCCTGCACACCATCAAACAGATCATTGACCGGGTAAGAAGCAAGATATCCAAACGGGTTTAGATGTACGGACAATGGATTGAGATGTAAACATCTTGGGACAGATTTGTTATTGTAGTGAGAAAATGGCAGAGATGATAAGTGCAGCTCACTGCTGCCCTCTGGTGTTCTGCACTCGTTAATGTTACTAAATGACTGATCTTCGACAAAGAGGTAAGTTGTATTGTGGCAGGTTTACTTACAAAACTAATTCAGACTGATGACATGTTGCCATCACTATGTTCAAGATCTGCTGCACACTTTGTATGGAAACCTCACTATTGGTCATATATTGTATTCTGTCTTTACACTTTCTTCATTTTAAGGGGAAAGGCTCACTGTATGGAAATAAACACATGTTTGTTTTCTGTGTAGGACAAGCACGCAGTGCTGGACATCACCCCTAATGCAGTGGACCGTCTCAACTACGCTCAGTGGTATCCAATCGTGGTGTTTCTTAACCCAGACACAAAGCAGGGTGTGAAGACGATGAGGACCCGCCTTTGCCCGGAGTCTAGGAAGAGTGCCAGGAAGCTTTTCGACCGAGCCCTCAAATTAAGGAAGAACAACCACCACCTCTTCACCAGTGAGTCAAGTCGGGACTAGGGTGGGGTACCAAGGGGAATGGTGGAGATATATATATATATGTGTGTGTGTATGTATATGTGTGTATATATCTATCTGTTAGCTCTTGTCCTTTATTGCTAATTTGGGAAACATTGTTACTTATTTGATTGGAGAGATTTTTTTTCTCTTCCCCTCTGCACAATCCTCTCTGTGTATTCAGCGACCATTAACTTGAACAACATGAACGATGGCTGGTTTGGCGCGCTGAAGGAATCGATCCAGCAGCAGCAGAACCAGCTGGTGTGGGTTTCCGAGGGCAAGGTGAGACGCGCGCGGCCCAAGAGCCCACACGTCAACACAAACAGCCCATGTGGACCAGAAGTGGTCGGCTCCCGCTACCTCTCTCACCTTTCCCCTCGTTTCACAGGCTGACGGAGCGGCCGAGGACGACCTGGACATCCACGACGACCGCCTGTCTTACCTGTCGGCGCCGGGCAGCGAGTATTCCATGTACAGCACCGACAGCCGCCACACCTCCGACTACGAGGACACAGACACGGAGGGCGGAGCCTACACCGACCAGGAGCTGGACGAGACCCTGAACGACGACGTAGGTCCTCCCGCAGAGCCCGCCATCACCCGCTCCTCGGAGCCTGTTCGCGAGGACCCGCCCGTCATCCAGGAGCCCCCCGGCTACGCCACCTACGCGTTGCAGCCGGAGCCCCTGCACCGCATCGACCCGGCTGGATTCAAGGCACCAGTTCCGCAGCAGGTAGCGTTTCTGAGAGCCGCGCGTCTTCCCTGTTGTCTGGAGGACGTGGTTTGCGTTAGAAGGGTTTTCTGGAAGCGCTATTGAAGGCACTTTTTTATTTTTGCAGTTACTCTGTCAATCTACTGTTACCAAACAATATAAGTGCAAAAGTGAAAACTTCTGTGTTCAGGTATCTATCGCCATATATAAAGATTATATAATATATATATATATATATATTTAATATACTATTTATTTTATCTTTGCCTATATCTGTGCGTGGATTACTGTTGCGCGTGTGTTTTTTTAATTTTTGAAACGGAGAAGAACTTGATCTTCTACTGTTACTCTGGTTCTCTATATTACCACAAGCTGTCTTATTGGTGTGACCGTTGCTGATGTCACTGAGTAAAGAAACGTGTTTGTCAAAGTGTCTGGACCAGTTCTCACCTATGTGCACTTCTTAGCTTTTGTTTTACTTGCGATTGGGACTGTGACAACGATACAAGAAAGTATAATGTGCATGTTTATAAATGCCAGTATTAAACCAGTGTACCTGTGAAATATACTAATCAACACTCGGCCAATGTGGCACCCAAATCTAAATGTTTGTTGTCCCATGATGTGTTAATGATCATAAAAGGGGAAAGAAAATATTCTATTGTATTGTAACTGCAGCATTAAAATCAAATTTACTATACTCTAACAACGAAAACTTGTACTTGTAGCAGATGTGTATTAAAGCTGCTGCTAATTCCGAACTCTCGAGTGGCGTTGGTTGATCGCCAGCTACTTTTAAATGTGGAGGGTGATTGGCTGTTAGGCACAAGTGAGGAGCAGACCGTAGGCAGTAGCACCTGTTAGTACTGCACCACGGCGTCAACGCGTGTTATTAAACATTTCTGAACCACTTCACAGAAAGCAGAGGCCGCTGCCGTCCCTAGCGTCCCCAAGCAGCCTGAGCCCCTGGCTGACACAGCCCCCCCCGCTGTCGACGTTACTGTAAAAACTGTAGGGGTTCTGAGTCCTGACGAGGCTCCTGCAGCTCCTCACACCCAGCCAAGCCCCAACCCAGAGGCTGGCTCTCTTAGGAGGCCCACCACTGAGCTAGCTCCTCAGAGCGTCACACCAGAACCTCTACAATCTGGACTGGCCAGTTCAGAACCAAAGGTATCCATCTGACCGTCACTGGACGCTTCGTGAACTGACTCGGCCCAGCTCGGTCCGACCCGGCCTCACCTCCTGTGCCTCTGCTGCTGCTGCTGCTGCTGCTGCCTGTCTACCTTCCTACCTCCTGCTGCCACGCTTCTGTCTCTCTCTTTCCGCCCTGCATGTCCGCTGACCGCAGTGCTTCCCAGAAGAGACAGAGACTTCGTACTGTGGACGTTGTTTTGCGTGCAAGCGTGTGTATGTCTGTGCACGTGTGAGCAAATGCTGGTAAACAACAGTGGGCCTGTAGGTAATGGCTGCGCTCACCGGAACCATCCGAGCAGCAGGGGAACCCCCGCCCCCCTCGGCTCTCACTGTTGCTTATCCTCTCTGCATGGCTGCAACACGTTTGCCTCATTCTGTTAACCACTCCGGGTTGATCTCTTTGTGCTGTATTCACCAGTTTAGATTAAAAAGGATTGTTTCCTTGTAAAAGTAACCACTAACCTTCCAACAGTTTTCTATTTCAGTATTTTTTTTCCATTTGATTATGGTGGATGATTAATGGTTACTTCCCGATGATCCGGATTTTAAATATTTATTTTTATTACAACGGGTTTGTGCTGTGTTAAATATTATTGTAGGTGGTTAATTTGCCTTAGTAATTGCACTGAGACAGTGAGTGACATTTTCCCTTGTGTTCAGCAGTGCTGAATTATTAATGAGCTTTATATGAGTAGTTTACGTTACACTTCTAAACCAAATTCAAATTCTCTCAAGTTAGCCAAGGAAAATGCATCCCACTGTTTGGCTGTAATTTCTTCAAACATTCTTATTTTCTTATTTTTTTCTTTCAATGTTGGAGCTGCAATGGTACATTGTGATGTTTTGAAGCTGCAATGTTTGGCTATGCTTGGATTTCTATTCTATTCGATATCTATTATATCATCTGATCAGTAACCCTCCCTCTCAGTTTCTCTATTTCAGGTCTTTCCCTTGTTTCTTCTTCTGGTTTCTAAAATACTTTTTAATAGTTTGTTTACTCATTTAACAGATTTTTTTTATCACATTACATATTTTCTGTCAGTGCAATGTGTTTGTGGATCCTGTGCATCTTTTAATCTTATCGTCTTTGTTGGGTAGATGTTTCAGAAGGATCCATACAGCGTAGAAAACACGGGGAGAATCGGTCACAGCATGAAGCCTGCGACCTACAACTCCCAGCAGGGATTTCACCCCGACCAGCCGCCATACAGAGATTACGACCACCCACCCAGTCGGTATGATGTCAGCAGCAGCGGAGGTGGTTATCCGCAACCAACGTACAGGAACTATGACCCTAACCCGCCCTACGAGAACAGTGTGCCTCATTACGACCAGTGGAACCCTTACAACCAGCCGCACTCCACCGCCAACTCCCAGGGCCACGACCCCCGCGTACCGTACAGTGATGGACCCGACTCCCAGTACACCCCTCCCCTCCGCTACGACGAGCCCCCGCCTCAGCAGGGATTCGACGGGCGGCCTCGCTACGGAAAACCAACAGGTCCGGGTCCCGTCCGCTACGATGATCCTCCGCAGCCAGCGCCGGGTCCCGACATGCACTACAACCAGGATCCTCGCCTGGCCGCGTACCCTTCTGCTGGCCACTCCCCAGACCCCGCCCCTCAGCGGCCTTCGTACAACCAGGGACCAACGCCGCAACAAAAGAGCTACAAGCCTCAGCAGTATGACCCTGTTCCTGTGAACTCTGACCCCGGCCCCGCACCCTCTCCCAAGGCAGACGGCCCGTCATCGTCTCCCGCGGAGGCTCCAAAGTCTTTCCCCGCCAGAGATGAGCACCAGGAGGATCCCGCCATGCAGCCACAGTCGGTCCTGACCAGGGTGAAGATGTTCGAGAACAAACGCTCGGTGTCTGTGGACAGAGCCCGAGATGCAGGGGATTCATCTGGGAACAAGGTACACCTAATGCACTTTCTGAAGTTATAGTTGTTGCTAGTGTTCCTAACTGGTGTTTGCACTTCAACTTCATGAGAAATCAGCTCATTGTTTAACAACAGTGTTTGTTATTCTAAATATTTGATCCTCTTAATGAGAATTGTTTTTGCTGTTACAGGCAGCTGATTTACCCTTGAAAGCGGGTGGAGTAATCCCCAAAGCAAATTCTCTGAGCAACCTGGATCAGGAGAAGGCCTTCAAGTAAGCTCATGTTTATGCAATTCGTCATGATGAATATTTGACTTAAATTGGATATTTAGTCACTATTTCCACATCAATGACAAAATCTTTAGCTCTCCTCTCGCTCTGATCTCGCCGTCTTTGCCTTGTTATTGACCTGGTTAACTTTTTTTATCCCACCAACCCAGAGCCCCAGGGCCTCAGCAGCCTCCGTCCATGGTAGCTGATGACATTGTGCGCTCCAACAATTACAACCCTGATGAGGACGAGGACTACTACAGGAAACAGCTGTCTTACTTTGACAGGCTCCAGGCCGGCCCCAACAAACCCCAGGCACAAGCACCAACGGCTAACCACTACCCCAGGTGAGGCTCCTCATCCACATTCCCAAGCATATGGCGTTCTCATAAAACATATTTTCCGTGTTAGCTGGAAGAAAATGTGAATCTTGAATTGATGGATTTGGACTTTTTATACAAGGACGGAGTCAGTGGAGAAATCCGTTCCAGTGGAGAAAAAATATGAGCCTGTTGCCCAGGTGACGCCTTCTCTGCTGCCAGCTGTGCTGCCCAAACCCACACCCGAAGGTAAAAAGGAACCGTCTATGAAAGAAAGGGAAAAACTGGTGGAGATTTTATTATCTTCTACCAGATTGTCATGGTGTGAAGATGCTTCTGTATTACAAACTGTACTACTAAAACAAAAACTGATGCGCTCAGTGACCCCAATCCGTGACCCTCACGCTCTTCCACAGCCAAACCTCCTGGCCGAGACGACAACGTCCACACCAACTTCCTGCCTCACAAGAGTTTCCCTGAGAAGTCTCCGGTGAACGGCACTAGCGAGCATCCTCCAAAAACGGCTCCACCTGCAAACAGCTACAACCGCTACACCCCCAAGCCCTACACCACGTCAGCCAAGCCTTTTTCACGCATGTTCGACACACCCAAATTCAACCACAACCTTTTGCCCAATGAAAAGCCGGACGCTGCTCCAAAGGTAAGCTGTTTTCTTAAGCAGTTATAGTGGTGCGTGTGCGTGCGTGCGTGTGCGTGCGTGTGTGTGTGTGTGTGCGCGTGCGTGTGTGCTTTGTGTGAGCCCAGCCATTGACCCGATGTGCACTGGCATTGACTCCATGAAGGATACGTGGCTTTAAAGATGACTGACTGACAGTTGTTCATAGGCATTTCAGTACTTTGAGCTCACTTTATAAGACCTATTCTGTAACTAATATTTTTCTCACACTTTTTTCCATTTTACAGAGCGCATATTGATCTGAAGTAGCTGTTATGTAAGGGTTATTTATAACCACCAACGTGATAGTAATGTGTGATGCAAAAAAAGCATGAATCAAAGTGCTTACGCTTTCGTCCTCCTGCCGTCACTTAATTTTTGTCATCCTGGTTGATGCAGATTGACACTGAATCCACTGAGGTCTCTCTTAGAAGCTATTTATTCTCTCTTTTGATTTCTGGTTACATAAATAAGTTCAGCTGCAAGCTCTTGCTTACACTGTTGCCGTGTGTGTTTGGCACAGGGCCAGAGCTCCGGCCCAGTGAAGCCTCAGATAGCCCTGCAGCCCCAGAACACAGACCCTGACAGTGGCCTGGACACCTTCACGCGCACTTTGGAGCACCGCTCCAAGCACCAACTCAACAACATCCACGCTGTGCCCAAAGCCATCCCAGTGAGGTAACAAACTCCGTCCGACTACAGATCCCGCTCTGAGCATTCTGTTCAATGGGTGTGCGTGAAGGTGACTTTCTTTTTCCTCAGTCCTAGCGCCCTGGATGATGATGAGGATGAAGATGAGGGCCACACAGTGGTTGCAACGGCTCGTGGTGTCTTCAACTCTAACGGCGGCGTCCTGAGCTCCATCGAGACCGGCGTCAGCATCATCATCCCACAGGGGGCCATCCCCGACGGCGTGGAGCAGGAGATCTACTTCAAGGTCTGCAGAGACAACAGCATCCTTCCGCCACTCGACAAGGAGAAAGGTAACTCGTCAAAGAGGACGAGGCCCAGGGTTCTTTTTTTTTAATCATATTTTGTATTCGTATTTTGTGTCATAAATTATTGTATACTGTTGTAATTCTTTTATATATTAAGTTGCTAATAGTATGTTGTACTTTGGTGAGATATACTGTGCTGTACAGACCGTCCGTGTGTTTACTTCTAATGGTCCTGACTGTTTACAGGAGAGACTCTGCTCAGCCCTCTGGTGATGTGTGGACCTCATGGCCTCAAGTTTTTGAAGCCTGTGGAGCTGCGCTTACCTCACTGTGCGTCTATGACCCCAGATGGTTGGTCTTTTGCTCTAAAATCCTCCGACTCCTCGTCGGGTATGCTGTGCTCTCTCTGTTCTTCGGGGTCATTTGGGCTGGCTTTGTGACTATTTGAGGGTTGTGGGTCAATGTTTCATTCATTATTTGTAGATTTTATCCCTAGTTTTGGTTCTCTTCAAAAATCAATGAGAAAAATTTAAACTAAATCAGAAAATTTGAAAATGTCTGAGAATCAATCTAGGGGGAAAATCTGTATATTTTTTCACAATGTATTGCTTTGATTGATTCATTGTCATACTTTATCCTTGTTAACTCACCCACTCGATCTATAAATCACTCTATCACTGGTTCTGTAGTTGGTGTTCAAATCAATCTCCCTCCTCATCGTTCTGAAATTACAGTATTTTTCTTAATTTTTCACCTCTCGACTCATTTTAATACGCTTCTCTGATTTGACATTCATTCATCAGATGCTTGGCTGATTAATAATTTAATTTCACCAGATAAAGGAATAATGCATGCCGCTCTGCTTGGACAGATTTCTCACATAGCCACCCAAGTCCTGACCTGAAGAACAGCTTTTATAGATCTCTACGGAAATTGGGACGCCGTCATAACCAATAATGCCTGTCTTTGTCCTGCAGAAAGAAAGAAAAAAGCTTGTTACCGTGTCAAAATATAGCTCTCCAAATTTAGCTTCTGAGTGTTGTTCTTATCCAAGATAGTTCTCAGGTGACAAGAAATATAATTGTCCTAATGAATTGGTCGTTCAGACCGGCTTCTGCTTGTTTACTCAGGAGTTTGCATGTGAAATTGGATCCTGGAAAAACAGGGAAGTGGAAGTAATCAAGTAGATAAGCGCTGCATAGCTGCTGGAGGGGAATCTGATAATTGTAACTCCTCTGTATGCAAATGGTTACTTGCTGATGACACTTTTAGTCAAGCAGCCGATGAGAGAAGATCCTGTAAAAACCACAAAACAGAATACTGTTTGTTCATCTTTATGTATCTCAACAGAAATGAGATAAAGAGAGGAAGTTGCCCAAATCCTCTTAAGAACTTTATTTAGTAGGTCATAATTTAGCAAACAAACTTTGAATAATAACCTAAGCTCAATAAAAAGTTGAGCTCTGGCTAAGAATTTTTTTTTTTTTTTTTTAATAACTAATTCCTCCTTTTTCCTTTCTTACCTAAAACAGTAGTCATTTGTCCAGTGGTCAGGATTAGCTGCTAATTAGCCTCATTTTAAGGATGAAGCTTGGGGGGCTGAATGAGATGTGAGCTCACTCCGTTGTCCCGCTGAATTGTGGGAGGATTATCGGGCTGAGTCTTAATCCTCTCATTGTAAAGCGAGGCTGCTCTCCGGCCTCCTCCTGTCCCCTCCTTGGGTTTTCTCCCTTTGCTCCCCCTTTTTCCTTCTGTACAACTCACCGCATCCGACTGCCTCTCTTCTGTGTGTTAGACTAGATGATTGAAATATCTCACGGTACAGCAGAATTAAATTATAGGCCGACATTAACCTCAAAATATGCGATAGGTCATCGTCTCGGCATTCTTTGGGGCTCGACCACTAATGTGATTTATTGAGTCATGTTTTCATAAGAAACACTCCCAAATTCTCCCAACAGCAAACTCTTTAAGAATGTAGTTTTAAGGTCCATCAGTTCAACCTTTTACAGTCCTGCCCTACAGTGACTAAGCTCAATAAAAAAGAATAAACTGCTTTCATCGGCCAAACCGTGTGATATTATATAACATGGCCTACAGACTGAGCTGTGCAGAGAGCGGATTTAATAGGAGGCTCGTTTGTAATGGATTGTTGTGGTGTGAAGAGGAGTTGTGTGCACAGTGCTCATGAAATGCATTACAGCACTAACGAGCAGCTGTTATCACTCACTATGCCGCCATCTGTCTGTCCGCAGGTGACCCAAAAAGCTGGCAGAACAAGTCTCTCCCCGGAGACCCCAACTACCTGGTGGGGGCCAACTGTGTTTCTGTGCTCATCGACCACTTTTAAGGACGGCGCAGCAGGTGTGATGTCACTGAATGTGGAACCATGGGGCGTAAAGTGAAGGACACACATAAACACACGCACACAGGCACCATGTGATGGAGTATGAAGAAGATGCAGCCAGTGCTGCTTACTGCACCCTCGGATGAAGGCGATACACTGATGACGGTTACAAACATGTTCTTTAAACTTTTTTCCCGTTTTGAAGTTGTTGAAGTGAAATAAAACCATGGATGCATGCGCCATGCCGCTGAGGATTGACACTATATATAAGGCGATGTTTAATGTGACTATTACATGAATATAGATGAGGCTTTTGAGGCACTATAAATGCGTCAAAAGCCTGTGTTGGTGTATTTATGCTATATATGCATACGGTATATATAGTAGTATAGAGAAGAATTACTAAAATTGTACTTGTGAAGTCAATTTCCAGTCAACATCTTGTTATTTTTCAGTTCAGGTGCCCAAATACAAACTATTTCCACATTTAGAATATTTCTAATGAAGGTTCGAGACGAACGTGAAGTTTGATTGAAACGAAGGATGGTGACAAGTATCTGTTGAAGAAGCTGGACATGAACCCAAGCAGCACACTTTTTAAGAGACGTTCTTCCTTTTCCTTCAGTGGTATCTCGTAGCTTTGTTTCTTACAGAGTAAGGCGTCTCCTTCCAGCCTGAGGGAGATCTATGCATGTTCTTTACTCAGGTCCAGTAGCCCCCTCAGTTCCCCCCTCGCATCTATTTCTCGCTCTCTCCATCTCGTCTTCTCTCTGTGTCGCACTCACACACACATAAGCAGTGATGCCTTATCTGCAGATTATTCACGTCTCATGAAGAAAACAATAAGTTATGATAAATTATGGTATGTCATTGTTTTGCCATTTCTATTTTTGGTTAACCCTTCTGTATAAATGAACTCGGGTTTAGCACACAATAACAATTTATAAAAGATAACAAACGTATGCTCTTCTTTTATCTGCTATGCATTACTCCAAAAAGAGAAGAATCGGAGAAGACGTGGCTGTAAATAAAGCTAGCGTATTGCCTTGTTTCTTTGGTTTGTAAATGAACTTTTTGTATGTCTTTCTTTTTTGTATGAAACTTAGAGAAAACATGTTTTAAAAAGTGGAAGACACTCTTTGTATTCCGGATATAACCTCGAGCCTTGGAACTTGTAACCTAACAACAATGCATCACATCTTTTTTCTACCGATATATTCACACTACGTTATGGTCACAAAAAAAGCTCTTTTTATTCATTTTTTGAGGATCAGGAAAGTGCTTGGGCTAAAATACATTTAAAAACATGTTCTTTTAAAAGGGGGTGTGCTCTCAGAGACCCCTTCACTGATTTGTGATACTGGATGCTGTATTGTGTGCCCTTAAATGTATTTTTGTACTAATAGACAATATATGATGTATGGCACACCAGTACCATTTTATTTTTAGATAACACAGCTTTAATTGGATATTAGCTCTTCACTTGTGGCTGACTTTTTTTTCCCCTCAACACAATTTTAAGTATACCACTGTATTAATAAATAAAATCATTTTTAAAGTAAAGACACTTTGTCAAAGGGACTTTTTTTCCTTTTACATCTGATAAACACAACTGATCTTGTTATTGTAGTTCATTTATACTTAATGCATAATGTGTATTTATACAAATAAACTCACGCCCACTTTATTATGTCCACCTTGCCAGCAGAAGGTTGGACCTTCTTTTGCCTTCAGAACTGCCTTAATTCTTTGTGTCAACAAGGTGTTGAAAGTAGCCACAACAACATTCCTCAGAGATTTCGGTCCATATTGACATGATGGCACCACGCAGTTGCTGCAGATATGTTTTGGGCATAAAGGGGGGGACATGGTCAGCAACAATACTCAATTAGGCTGCAGCATTAAACAAAGCTCCATTACTAAGGGGCCCAAAGTGTGCCAAGAAAATATCCCCCCATCATCACACCAGAAGGCAGGATGGATCCGTGCTTTCATGTTCACGCCACATTCTGACCCGACCATCTGAATGTTGCAGATAAAATCATAACTCATCACACCAGGCAACGTTTTTTCCGGTCTTCTACTGTCCAATTTTGGTGAGCCTGTGTGAGTTGTAATCTCAGTGTCCCGTTCTTATCTGGAGTGGCACCAGCTGTGGTCTCATGCTGCTGTAGGCCGTCTTCTTCAAGGTCCCTCGTGCGTTCAGAGATGGTGTTCTGCATTCCTCGGTTGTAACGAGTGGTGGAGTTCCTGTTGCCTTTCTGTCGTCCTCACATCAACGAGGCATTTTCGTCCACACAACTGCTGCTCACTGGATGTTTTTTCTTTTTCGGACAATTCTCTGTAAACCCTTGAGATGGTCGTTTGTAAAAACCACAGTAGATCGGCAGTTTGTGACATCAGCCCGTCTGGAACAACAACCATCCACGTTTTAAAGTCACTTCCATCCCCTTTCTTCCCCATTCTGATGCTCGGTTTGACACTTCTGCAGGTCGGCTCGACCACATCCACGTGCCTGAGCGCATTAAGTTGCGGCCTTGAATGATTTGTGTTAATTTGTGTTAGCAATTGCACAGGTGTCCCTAATAAATTGGCTGGTGAGTGTATATGTATCTATACATACATTTATATATATTTATTGAAATTGCCAATTTTCCCAATATAATCATAATTCTGGCGGTTTAGTGGATTTTGTGACGTTATTTTTTCTTTAAATGACATTTTTGCTAATAATCAATCAGTTGACTCCTTATTTCAGCTCAGTGGCTGCTGCTTGACTGCACATCGTGTCATTATGTCGATATATATGTACGATATTACCACCATGGCTCAGGTTTGGCAGCTAGATGGTGCAGTTGAGCTCTCGGCGAGGGCTTGACAAGGGCAGGAATGGAAAAGTCCTTCATCTGATTTGAATCTATTTAAATATTTCCCTTTGTTTCGGTCCCTACCACCTAGACATGGAAGCTGGCCTAAATGATTCCTTTAACAAATTCATTTACGTAAGATGTTGTTGGTAGAGGTGGTAGAAAATAATGTTTCTGATGAAAACGTATACAGTTATTTGATAATCTGGGGTGTAGGAGAAGCTGTTTCTTGTTCTCATCTCTTATTCCCCTTATGAAATACATCTAGTTCTTTAAGAATCTAAATTCCCGTTGAATTAAATTGGAAAAAATGTTGACTAAACTGCTTAATACATGTCCACAAATCGTTAATTCAGTGATGGAAGAAGCACGTGGATATTTTACCTGGAAAGCAAGTACATCATGTTACAACTTTATTAAATATATCGATTTAAGTTAAAGTACATACACTAAGTATTTCCATCCAAAAACATTTAAAGTAACGTAAGTGGAAAGGCATGATGAGCTGAATAAAATATATCACAACGTTATAATGGCACTACTTTCTTATACAGCCAAGAAGCTTAATCTAAAATATTACATGATGATGACGTATCAATTTTGCCTGAAGTAGAATATAAAGTAACATAAAATGGTATAACTACATAACTACAATCAAAACACCGCGGCCAGAAGCTTCTGGGTCACAGCAGCACATTTTCTAACGAGTGTTTAATGACGAGCAGCCAACCGGATTTCAAGCACCTCTTTATCCAAAAGCCTCTCCAGGTGTGTCGCTCTCCTACCTGCCTGCGCTGCAACGTCACAGACCGCGTGAAGGACGCGCGAGGCACCGCCAGCGTTCAATGACACTGCGGACGTTGATACCGTTGCTTTGTTTCACAAAAAAATGGTAAAACCGCCTCAACTTAAAAAAAAGACTGATCACACAAACACACTGTGAGACCCAAAACGCGTAAACCTCCCCAAAGGCACCTGGTTTTCTTCGTAGGGTCACCTGCTCGCGATGGTCCACGTTTTCATCCAGCACCCCCAGCAGCAAATCAAACGCTTTAACTGTTTATATTATTTATTTATTTGGGATTGATAGTAGCGAGCCCACCTCCTCCCCTCCGCCATCGTAGTGAAACAGACCGCGAGCAGCTCGCCGCCATGAGAGCGCGCACAGTGGCACATCTCCAATACGCAGTGTGCGTCTCCCGTCCTGCCCGCTAACGTTTGCTGTCGTCCGTGAAAAACCTCCGCCGGTGCAACACACACACACACACACACACACACACACACACACACACACACACACACACACACACACACACACACACACACACTCTGGAGACGCAGCTCGGTCACGAACTGCGGAGTTTGGAGGCGTCTCTCCCCCTCTCGTCCTGATAAAAAGAATGTCGCACCTTTAAATTATTTAGCACGAGTCTTCGAACAACGTACCCATCCCCTCGCTTTCGAAGTAGTTGGAGCCCGGATGAGAGCACGCGAAGCATAACAATGGAGCGACGCGGGCTGGCGAGGGATAACGCGGCTTATATTTGGATTTACGCATTTTTTCTGGCGTTTTTGACTATTTGAGGAATGGGATCTTTGCCGGAACTGTCGCCGAGAACTCCCGGGGTCTTATTTTCCCAATTGTGACCTGAAAATCGTCCCGTTTTATTCGTGTGTCCATCTTGGTGCCTCGTCCCGTCCGCGCGTTCCTCACCTTTCTCCTCCCATCCGTCGCAGCGCATCTCTACTTGCAGCCGACTCCGAGGCGTCTTTCGTCTCATGGAGATCCGCATCCGCACCGGACACTGACCACGAGTTTACGCCGTTTACCAGCGCGCCGCCGGCGGACACACACACACACACACACACGCAGCACGCCTGCTGTTTGTTGGATGTGTTTTGTCCTTTCTGCGCCGCTGCGTGTGCGTCGTACCCTTCAGTCACAATGCCGGTGAACGCGCTCCACCGCGGCGGCATCGGGGCCCCGGGGTCCCTGAGCCCCGCGTCGCTGTCCCGCAGCCTGTCCCGCCTCAGGGAGTACCGGACCCGCACGAGGATCATGCTGGCTCTGGGGGTCTCTCAGATGGTCCTGGGGAGTCTCATCCTGGCCGTGAGCTTCGCGGCGCTGGCTCTCACCACGTCACCCAGGGTCCGGCATTCGTGTCCCTTCTGGGCTGGTTTCTCTGTGAGTCCGACAATTACACACTGCTGGTTGTATTTGAGTCAACATGATGCAATATTTACTCCTACTAAATAATAGTAACCGTGTTGTAGTGTCATAGTATTTAGGAGCATATTGAGACTCTAATAGAAAGGGAACATTATTTCAGCCCTGATGTGAAATAGTCTTTTTGTCACCTGTCACTTCATTGATCTCCTGGTGTTTTTCATAGTTTGATATGGTCACCGACGGCTGTTCTTTAACCTTTAACCTCCGAGCTGAACTAATTCCCGTCCCGTTGCCATGAAAAGGAAGACGTCCACATGTTTGGTAATTAGTTGTGAGGACACAAAGCCTTTGTTGTAATGAGTATCACACACACACACACACACACACACACACACACACACACACACACACACACACACGCAGATGAAGTCAAGGAAGCGGGTGTTTTAAACACGCTGGCTCTCTCCTCTTTGTACCGAGGGACGTGTCATGTGTTGAGACGTGTTTCTCTCCTTCATGTGAAATTTTCATGGTGGTTTTCCGTAAATATTTATGAATGCATCCATCCCTGATTTCCTGCCAGAGACCCAGCGCATGGCTTCTCAATTAATTATAGAAGCAGCGGGGCAGAGTGCAGGGGTGACGGGGGGGTCTGTGGCACCAGGGCCATCTCTTTGTCTGTGTTTGTGTGTGTGTGTGTGTGTGTGTGTGTGTGTGTGTGTGTGTCCGGCACTGATGGGAATAAAAAAAAAAAGAGTCACTGGCTAGATGCCCCATTATGATAGAGAAAAGAGCGAGGACATGTGTCAGTGCCCATATGTGTGGATGTGTATAGTTACCGTCGGTAAACACAGGGGTCAAAGGTCAGTGCTAATTCTTCATCAGAGCCCCGGGCTGATTTGAGGTCTGTCAGCCTGTGGTGCTCTTACCTGCTGTCATTTACGTGCACCAAACTCTGGTGATTTGCTCAATCAGACGCTCTTTGCGGTGAAGTGGAGCCCCAATCTGCAGAAAACACTGTTAAATACGTTTAAGATCTAAATTGGCTCATTAAATTTGGTCTTTAATGTTGACTTATTTGAAAAGGAAAAACAGCGTTTGTTTGCCTTCATGGGATAATGTCATTAAACACACAGTCCTTTCCTATCAAGAATTCCCTCTGCATCTCAATAAGGTGTTATGGGATGCTTTCTGCAACCCTGCCTCCTCATTCAGTCCCTAAGATGAGTGTATTCTTTACACAGAAGCTTGCCTTGTGCGTCTCTAAGACTGCAGAACAAATCTTGATCTAATTTTAGAGACGGACGCTGTCCTTTTATTCTTGATCCATATGTGTCGCATGAAAGAAGGTGGTTAGCCTGAATACGATGGTTCTAATCTGGCGTTTCCATGCTGCAGTCGTCTTTTATGAACTTCTGACGAGCGTTTCTATCACACGTAAACCAGCTTCTTGAAAACTTGATTCTTTTAGCCTGTAAATGTAGTTTAGCATTGAATCTTGAAGCCTTTATGTTGTGTGTGTGTGGGACGTCATTAAGGATCTCTGTGTGATGACTGGCATTGTGGGAATTCATCATGGTCACAGCGAGAGAAGGCGTAATCTTCACTTCCTACACAGAGCATCACTGTAGCACACACACACACGCACACAGATACAACCCTCTTCGGTGTATTGCATATCAATGGATCAGTCTCTTTCATCCTGATTTTCCTCACTCCGGAGAGAAAAACATGTTTTACAGCTTTCATGTTAAGAGTTGGATGTTTGAAAGCAAAATATCTCTCTCTCTCTCTCTCTCTCTCACACACACACACACACACACACACACACACACACACACACACACACACACACACACACAGTGACTTCCAGTAGATGTGTTTGGCGCTGAGCTTGAACGATGTACAGTTCTGCTTCCCTGGTCGGTGGTACCTGTTTCCCTGCTGCTTTCCCAGTTGTCTGCGGATCCCGGCGGCCTGCCGGGTTTGGCTGATGAATGAGTCGGCCGAGCGAGCCAAAGGGCCTCTGCTGCCGTCAGCAGCTGACAGGCAGAACAAATTACCGCTCACCGGCGCATCTCTATGAATTAAGACTGTGAAGTGATCTGTGTGTCCGGACATACATGCACTGCTGTACACAAACAGCCCTCCATCTCTCTCTCAATTCCCCTCGATGAAATGGAAACACTGTGGACAAAACGTGTGGATTTGTACATCCCATCACTGCAGGCTCTTTATTGACACAATCAATTTGGATGCTTCCTTATCTCTTTGTGCACCACCATCGCGTCCCCTCTCCTCTCTGGAGGATACTCCTCGTTTCCCTCCTGGTTGTGCAGAAGAAGGTGGAATCTTTCTCAAAGTAACGTTCCCGACATCCCAAAACTACAGAGCGCGCATGCCGCGACAAAGACGGCTTAAGACTGCATTCTCGGTATTTGTTGTGAGGCAGATCTCGCCGCCGCATTTCCAGCACAACCTTCAGCGAACTCTGCGCTAATCTGCCAAAGTGTGTGTTTGTGTTTGAGTAGAAGGCTGCACGGTGTTTTGTGGAGGGATCTGTGTTGTGGGGGCATATTGGGAAGCGCTCCGCCTTTTGTGGGTTGTTGAAAGAGGACAAAGGGCCACATTGAAGTAAAGTTTTCAACAGCTTCTTTAGGTTTTTTTTTTAAGCTGCTCCTGAGGGATGATGGTCAGTTTGTCAGGTCTTGACTTGATCAAGACTAAAATGTTTTCAACAATTATTGAATGCATCACCACAACATTTTGAACACCACTGTTCTGTAATTTGTGTTCCCCAGACTTTTTATTTATCGCCACAAGTCGGCCAAAATTTTCATTTATCGCGTGAAATATGGGTTTGCCTCCATATTTCCCCGGCATGTTTTTTTTCTTGGTGTAAATATGGCATTAGACTCCTTTTTCGATCATCAAGCTTGACTTGGAATAGAGAGACGTTCTCACTCAGCATGTGTGTTTTGTGCTGTCTTGAGATTGGAAGGCCAATCTCACGGAAAAACGGACGGACTTTAGATGTGTGCACATCTAATCTGCTGTTTGTCTCAGTGGTGAATAGAAAGCAGCATTTCAACAAAGACTAAAAAGTGAACTGTTTGGATTGATTGTGTCGTTGCTGGGTTCTGCCTCCTCTGCAGCGTCATCATTAATTGGCTCGTTTATCAGGCTTCACACGTTTCCTGGCAACAGATCTTTAAACAAATGCGCACACGCAAACACAAATGTACTCATGCTTTAGTATTTGTTGAGAATGAATGAGTGAATCCGGGTGATGTTGTTGCTCTGAAAACTGACACACTGATCATTTAATTCTTTGGGGGGGGGGGGGGGGTCGGTGTCAAACTAATAAAAAGTGAGGAGGGAAAGTTGTGTTACAATCAATCAACTCACCACAGTTTCAAAGTGTGAAACGTTTGAAGACTAAGTGTCGGATTGATATGAGTCATAGTTTTCAGATGCAATGAACCAATGTGATGTAGTGCACAAACATGTTTGTTTGAATGTTTGGGCTTTGAGGATTTTGTGAGTAAATGTATTATCGAGCTTAGACTCACATTGATTTCTATTTTGATGAAGTAATTTGTGCTCCTCTGAAATCCTCGAGGAGCTTTGCTTTCCTTTCCTTTTCTTCTGAGGTTATTTTCTGCTGAGAAAGAATCACTTATTGAGAAACTACCTGCGAGTCTCGATCCCAGTGGAGAAAAAGTTTTCTTCTTTTCAATTAGTTGAATTGATCCATTAAACAATTAAAGCTTGCAAAGGGAATTACAAAGTAAAAATCCTGTGAAACGATGTGATAGTTAATTAACAGTCTCTAATCGCATCATAATTTCACTGTCCAGTTGTGCACATTGTGATAGAAGCATTATTCTATTATTGCGCAACACAAATTGCCGCTGGGCTGTTTGTTGCTTTGATGCAGCCTTTTAATCCCAGCTGTCAATAGAGGCCGCGGCTCCTCCGCTGCCTCACTCATCCTGTCAGTTTAGATTAAATTGAAGTTGCAGTCGACACACAAGTGCTCTCAGCCCGGACCACTCACGGCCGGACCGCGATCATATCGATCAACTGATTAGATGGATTCCATCAATCATCACACTGCTGTTTACTGACTCTCTTACTGGGTATTTTCTCACTGGCGGGTTAAAGCCGTCGGGAGGATGTCAAGTGGTTTCCGGGTTGGTCCGTGTCCAGGTGTCGGCGAACAGTTCAGTAATTCACTTTCCCGCTGCACCTTTTCCACAATAAGTAAGTAGGCACTCGGCCTGCTGCTCCTCATTAGTCTGAGGACCCTCCGGTGCATCCGGCCCGCACTCCAGTGCTACCAGTAAGCACCATAATGGTGGAAAGAACAGTTTGTCCTTGCTCCCACTTCAGCCCACACACACACACACACACACACACACACACACACACACACACACACACACACACACACACACACACACACACACACACACAGTGTTTGAGAGAGACTCTAATATTTCAAGTTGTCAACTTCACTTAATTCCCTGTCTCGCTGTGCTATGCTGTCAAAGCCTTTCCGCCTTATCGCGTTCCGCTGCCTGTGCTTTGATATTTTTTGGGGTGGTTCGTGGTCCCCGTTCAACGGCGGGTACGGGATGATCTGAGCTTCTTCGCTGTGTGTGCCGTGTTAAACGATGATTACAAATGCCTTTTGTAATAAGCCCCCCCCCCCTCTTTGTCCCGCTCTCCTCACTGCAAATGACCAATTGAAGCAAAGAGGCGACGCAGCTCGAAACCTGGACGCGCCGCACGCCTGATTGGCAAAGCAGTCGTCGGTGAAATCCAGTCGCTCCAGAGTCGCATCGTGTTAACTATTAAGTTCTCCTCTTTTGTCTTGTCATCTTTGAGACCAGGAGGATACAATTAGGGACTTCATCATGAATGTTGTTTTGTCTCAGCAATGGTCCAGAACACAACATATTTAGTCTACTAGATAAGACTAAAACAATGTGGAATTGTTACACGTCCAA